GTCGGGAGCCGGCGCCGAGGCCCGAGCCGCGGGAGCCGAGCGGAGGCAGCGCCGAGGCCGCCGTGCCCCGGGGGCTTCCCCAGTCGCCGCCATGGGCAGTGAGTCGCCGCGGCCCGAGCGGAGGGCCGGAGGGCGGGCGGGGGCCGCGGCGCCGTGCTGGGCGGCGGGCGGGGGTCCGGCGTCCGCTCGGGGTCGTCGGCCCGCGGGCCGGGGATGCTGGGGCCGCGCCGGGCCGCTGCGGAGGGCGCGGGCGGGGGCCTCCACGAGGCTGCTCCTGCGGGCGAGGCCTCGCCCGGGCCGGCCGCGGGGCCGGGGTCGGGGGCTTGCGCTGGATGGTGGCGAGGGGCGAGGAGGGCGCGGCGTGGCCCCTCGTTCTGGGGCGGGGAGTCAGGGCGCGGGCTCGGCCTGGACCTCTCCCGAGTTTTCGGGAGCTTAGGGATCGCATGCGTTTATTCCCGGCCGCCATCCTTGGCGTGCTGCGGTGAGTCGAGCTCCCCGAGTCGTTTGATTGATGTGATTCAAAAAGTGCATGGCATGTGTTTTGGGGGCGGGAAGGAGTGCCGTGGGTAGCCCGGGATTTTCCTTAAGATGCTCATGCCGGCCCTCCGGTGGCATTGACTGAAAACCCCGTAAGGGACCAGGCCTCGTCTTACGAGGATCCTTTGAGGGCCCTTCCCCAAACAACCCCGCATCCATGCGCGGAGAGACTTACATAGCTGTTCAGACGATTGTCGGCTGGATGGATCCTCGCATTTCCAAGCCTTGCGCCCACTGGCCAGCTAGTGGACATTTGGGGGAAATTGGGAAGGAAGTGGGAGAGACCCCTGGTGAAATATTCTGCAGCACAAGGGTAGACGAGTTGCTTGCACGTGAATATCCCGTTACAGGTGATCACAAGATGTCAAGAAATCGGACATCTCTTTGAAAGAGCTCGTTGCAGGAGACGTCAGAGTAGAGGTTGTGTTTAAAAAGGAAAATAAATCTGAGGGCCTTCCATATGGGAGGAATAGGCCCTGGGAAGTGTTCCGATGTGATGAAAACTTGTTTGGCTTTAGAGACGAATGCTTTTCTAATTCGGATCTACTTTCCAAATAGTCCAGAATGGCCCTTGGGCAACAAACATCTGCCTGTGACAATTACTGAATTCTTCCAGCGAACATCAGTGACTGCCATCATTTTGAGTCAACTTTTGTCTAGCTGGCAACGTGATAACTTCTGTCAGTTTCACCACAATTTCAGGATGTTGGTGTACAGAGTCCAGTGTCTGGTGAGCCTCCCTCATAGCTAGCTGTGGCTTGTTGTGTTGCTTTCTGCTCCTAGTACGCTCTTTGGCAAAGGACTGAGGCTTGAGAGGAGATTGTCGTCTTCACCCTCCAGTTCTCGGGCAGATCTTGACTTCAGTCGTGCCAGAAGCTCCCTTAAGGAACCGTGGCTTCGCTTTCCTGTGCTGAGGGCGTCGTTTGGGAGATCACTACCTTCTAACGGAAAGCGATTCTGGTTCTCAGGACTGATTATTTGGCACAATCAGGCACTTTGCTGTTACCTGGGAGAGCAACCAAGTGATGAAACATGGCCAAATGCAGTGTAGTAGAGGTTGTGTATACTTTAGATGGCTAGCTGGAGAGGTGATTCCATGAGCTTTCTCACTTGTACGTCTCAGTGTCTTTCGGTTGTGTAAGGCAGTTCTGCAGGCCAAGCCCGTTTTCTGTTGCACTTCCTCGGTGGAGAAGGTGTCCTCCTCGGTCCCTCCTCTCATACCTCTCTTTTCTTCTCTAATGCTCTGTCTTGCGGGTACCACAGTAGAGTGTACTTGCCCTTTTTCGACATAGTGATGCTCTTCGAATAATTCCTGTTCTGTGGATCCAGGAGTGAGGGGGCAAAGTCATGGTAAGAGGCTGCTTGGATCACTTCGTATCTGCTGACTGGCCCTCAGCCCATGTGGATTTTTTTGTCCTTTGAATCGTGTCTTTTCCCTTATATATCATTTGAAATGGAGAGCATTATGATTCTTTAATTTTGGGGTGTGGAGATGGGGTAAATTGCTGTTAAAAGAGAACATTTGTATTTGATTCTGTAAAAAGATACCATCTTTTTACAACATTTATTCTTTCTTTTACAGTCAAATTTTTAGAAGTTATCAAACCTTTCTGTGCAGTTCTCCCAGAAATTCAGAAACCTGAAAGGAAAGTAAGTATACTGTTTTAGTATTATAGCAGGCAGCTTGATGACTTAACCTGCATAACCAGCAGGGTTGATTTACCTTCCCCAATCCTTTTTTGGTTGTAATTGGAAAGATATTACCTGCTCATCCTCCTTGCAAGAGGCACAAACTGAATAAAACTAGCATAGACCTGTTCAAGTCTTGATGGATTTTGCCTGCTTTCAAAAGTGACTTCATTCAGTTGTAACATTCCCAGACCAAGTGTTTCTTTGGCCTACGTGTCGGTTGAGATATGATATCCTCCTGTCCAGAGCAACCCTTTGTAATTTCTGTAACGTAGGGTGTTTATTGTGCTTCTTACGGTGTGATCTGCTGGACTAGGAATGAGCCAGTCTGCTGGGTAGGTTTGGATGAGTACAGCTGCTTTATATGAATGAACTGCCATTGTGTGAATATATACCTCTCATTTCTTGATTCATTCATTGGAAAGAAAAATGACAGGAATGCATTCAGAAGATATTGTGACTGGATCAAATCATTCTTCCATCATTTCGCACCTTTGAGGTTAAGGTTTTTAAATTTTAGAAATATTGTTAACCCCAAACTGGCCAATTTGCAAACGAGAATTCTTCTTTTGTACTTTCAAGTTCTCATCAACTAACAGGGGTAGGAACATAGAAAGAGACAGGCAAGATTTTTTAAAGTGTGTTTTTTTGTTTTTTGTTTTTTTTTTGAGTTGGAGTCTCACTCTGTCGCCCAGACTGGAGTGCAGTGGCTGCTCCCGGCCACTGCAACCTCAACCGGCCACTGCAACCTCAACCTGCTGGGCTCCGGCGATCCTTCCACCTTAGCCTTCCAAGTAGCCGGAATTACAGGCGTGCGCTACCACGCCTAGCTGATTTTTTGATTTATTGATTTATTGTAGAGATGAGGTCTCGCTGCCCAGGCAGGTCTCGAACCCGCGGGCTCAGGCAATCCACTCACCTCAGCCTCCCAAAGGCGCGGGATTACAGGCTGAGCCACCGAGCCCGGCTAAAAGTGTATTATTTTATGTAGAAGTGTATTTGTTATTGCCTTGAGATTGTAAAAACAGTTGTTCTGGTTACATTTAAGGCATCCCCAGAAATTGCAGCTTTTCACAGTCTATGAAATATTCGTATGTTGCTGTGGCAGACAGGCCTCACTTTGCACAGAGCAGCGTGAAGTGAGCGCTGTCACATCTGTGTTTTGCTCTGCCACCTTTTCAGTTTAATTTAACACGGTGCAATGCAGATGAGGATTGCTTGTATTTAATTTCTCTTTTTAAGCAAAAAGGGAAGAAACTTTATTTGAGAAGTGCTGCCGTTAGTTTTAGCTGCAGCTAACTAGGGTGAAAGGCGCACTTTGAGAGTGAGTATGGGCACCGGGTGGTGATGGGGATGCCAGTTGTACTGTCTTTTGGGTTGTGCTCTACATTTGCTGTTTCTTGTCCAGATCCAGTTTAGAGAGAAGGTACTGTGGACTGCGATAACGCTCTTCATTTTCTTAGTATGTTGTCAGGTATGTAACCATAATAATAAATAAATGTCTGTGCCATTGTCCCAGGGTCTTGGTTGATTGCAATTTGAGACATTTATGTTAGTTAAAATAATAAATATGCTGACCTATATTGAGCACTGTTACCCTTTTTTAATCTGAGAGGGTTTTTTTGTTTTTAATTTTAATAGAGACAAGTCTAGCCGTGTTACCCAGGCTGCTCTCCTGGGCTCAACCCATCCTCCCACCTCTGCCTTCTGCATAGCTGGGATTACTACTCAGCTACTGAGATAAGCCACCACACTAGGCTTATCTGAGTTATTTTTGATAATGAGAATGGTTATTTGTTCTCTGTATTCCTTTTGGTTTACTAGTGGGTTTTAATGCTTTTTTCTGTTAGTTTTCAGTTAATGGTGTTTACTCATTTTTTTCTTGCGATACTTTTTTTTTTTAACAATTCAGGGCAGCTTTTTATATATAAAAGTAACTCTGACTTATGTTTTTCAAATATTTTTCCAGTTTGCCTTCTTTTTTGAGTCATAGTCTCACTCTGTTGCCCAGGCTGGAGTACAGTGATATGATCACAGCTATTGCAGCCTTGATCTTCTGGGCTCAGGCGATCCTTCCACCTCAGCCTTCCAAGTAGTTGCAACTACAGGCACACGCCACCACACCTGGCTCATTTTTTGATTTATTGTAGAGACGAGGTCCTGCCATGTTGCCCAGCCTGGTCTGAATTCCTGGGTTCAGGCAGTCCTCTGGCCTCCACCTTCCAAAGTGCTGGGATTACAAATGTGAGCCACCCCGCCAGGTCCCCATTTGCTTTTATCATGTTGTGAATAACAATTGCATCAATTTCAGTACTCACAAAACCCCAAATTTTTAGAATCGTAGGCATGGACCGTGTTTAAAGATTAGTAAAATATAATTATACTTTTAAATAAAATTTTGCAGATAGATTAAGTTATGAACTTAACTTGAGGATAAAATGTGGCCTGTGGATGTCTCAAGATTGTCATAAGGATCACATAAGATAATTTAGGTGAAAGTTTTATGAGAAGTTTTAAAAGTTATTGAAAGACTTTTCATAAATAAAGGAACTTGAAAAAAATTATATTGAGAAGCAGTAGAACAGATTAGGTCCATAATCTGGAAAAAATGAACTATATTTTCTTTTTGAAAGGTGGAATGATGAAATCATTAGAGCATTTTTATTATTGTACTTGTTGAAGTTTGTTTTAGATGGTCAAGGAGGAAAGTTTTTAAAAAATACAGAAAAGCACAAAGAAAAAAGAACAGCATCCATATTGCCACCATCTACTTTTTGCATCTTGGACACTCCTCTCCCCTTCATTAGCAAAAACAACCTTGTAGAGGATGATATATAGAAGTGAAGTACACCTATTCTCACATGTATGTTTTGAAGAATTCTGACATTGTGAACACCCAGGTGTCTATGATCTGAGGGGAGGGAGAGCATTTCTATCACCCCCAGAAGTTCCCTGTACTCTTTCTCAGTCAGTCCCCACATAACCTCCAGTCCCAGGCCACCGCTGATCTCAGTTCTCTTACCGCAATTTGATTTCTCTTTTCTAGATTTCGTACACATGGAATCATGCAGTGTTGTTTAGTGTCTGACTTCAGCGTCTTTTTGAGATTTGTCTGTTGGTTGGTATGCCAGTCATTTTTATTTGTGACTAGTGTTCTGATGTGTGATTTTTAAAAATTTTTGGATTTTTTTCTTTTAAGACGAGTCAAGTGCAGTGTTGAGAAGGGGGGAAGAGAACAAGGAGTTCGGCATGTAACTGACTGTGCGAGAGCCCACTACCTTCAGGCCAGCCTGCTGTGTGACTTCACCAGTTCTCCATCCATTCACTGTTGGACATTTGGGTTGTTTTCCCTTCTGGCTCTAAGAGTTGCTGTGTATGTTGGCGTCCAAGTCTTTCTGTGGACATTGGTTTTCTCTTTGGTGAACACCTGGGGCTGGAGTTTTTGTGGCAATTGTATGTACAAGTTTATGTGGACCCTCAGTTCTGTTCCAAGTGTCTGCCCGTCTTGGAGTGCTGCAGTTGCTCTGCCTCCCGGCCTGCATTTGGTATTGGTGGCCATTTTAATAGTAGTCCTTTAAGGGGTGTGATTTTTAATTTGCAATTCCCCATGAATGATACTGAGCAACATTTTCATGTGCTTGTGGATATCTGTTTCTCTTCTGTAAAGTGTCTTTTTAAGTCTTTTGCCTATTTAAGAAAATTGATTATTGTTTCATTATTGAATTGGAAGCATTTTCACATTTCCTGGGTATAAGTCCTTTGTCAGCTATGTATATTGTGAATAATTTCTCCCAGTCTGTGGCTTCCCTCTTTTCTTAATAGCGTCTTTTGGGCCAGGCATGGTGGTGCATGCCTGTAATACCAGTACTTTGGGAGACCAAGATAGGAGCATTGCTTGAGCCCAGGAGCTCATGACTAGCTTGGGCAACAGAACAAGAGCTTGTCTCCACAGAGTAGAAAGTAAATAATGAATGAGCCGGGTGTGGTGGTGTGCTGCTTGTAGTTTCAGGGGAGCCTGAGGTGGGAGGATCGCTGGAGCCCAGAAGTTTGAGGCTGAAGTGAGCCAAGACTGTGCCACTGCACTCCAGACTGGGCGACAGAGTGAGACCCTCTCTCTAAAAATCAAAAGGATGCCTTTTGAAGAACAGAAGTCTGATTTCACTTTTTAAAGACACTAGGTCTTGCTATGTTTCCCAGGCAGGCCTTGAACTCCTGTCCACAAGCCCTCCCACCTCAGCCTCCCAGTAGCTGGGACTGACTGCAAGTGTGTTCCACTGGGCCTGGCAGAAGTTTTAAATTTTGATGAAATGCAGCTTATCTTTTTTTCCTTGATGCTCATGGTTTTTGGTTCCCAAGAAATTTTTGCCTCTTCTAAGGTCCTGACGATTTTCTTCTGTGTTCTTCCAAACACGTTATGGTTTTAGCTTGTCTGTTTTGGTCTGTGATCTATGCCAGGTTTGCTATTGTGTGTGGCGTGAGGGTAAGGGTTAAGGTTCATTTCTAGCTATATGGGCATCCAGTTGTTCTGGCACTATTTGTAGAAAAAACTTCCCCTTGTATTACCTTGGCATCTTTGTGGGAAATCAGCTAGCATGGTAAGCATGGATCTGTTCTGTCCTCTCTGTTCTGATCCCTTGGCCTATATGTGGCCACCACGACGGTCTACCACTTCATAGTGAGTCCAGTAATCAATCTGTCAGTCTCTTCCAACTTGGCTTTTCTTTTTCAAAATTGTGTTGGCTGTAGTTCCCTTGTATTTTCATATAAAATTTAAAATCAATTTGTTAATTCCTGCAAGAAAGCCTGCTGGAATTATGATTTGTGTTGCTTTGAATTTGTGGGTCAATTTAAGAGGATTACCATCTTGACCATATCAAATCTTCTTCTTTTTTTTTTTTTTGAGTTGGAGTCTCACTCTGTCACCCAGACTGGAATGCAGTGGCCGCTCG